GTGTGTGTGTGTGTGTGTGTGTGTGTGTGTGTGTGTGTGTGTGTGTGAGAGGTGGCACCCTGGCTGTCAAGTCTGTGTTAAGTCTTGTCAATTCTTTCTCACTAATGCTTCTCACAGACTTTTAACTTTGACTGCATGTGGTGGTGAAAAGTGCCATTCTTTCAAATACTGATGTCACTTGTATGTGGTAGTTGTTACACTCTGCAAAGTAACATTGAATGACATTTGCGCAGTAATTTTAGGCTGATTACCTGTTTGGAAAAAGTAACGCGTTAGAATGTGCAAATTTTAGAGGAATGTGCTACTTAGTAATGCATTCATCATTGATAAAGGATAAACGCCGAGATGCAAACCCCCAACATCATCTCTCAGGAACATTGTGGATATTTTGTCAGGAGCATTTGCGCCTCAGGCACAACAAGCACATACCACCAGAAAACTAATATGTTATTTGTATTTTTATTCTCTTTTCTTTTGTTGAATGGTTTTAAGTGACAAAATATTGATAGAATATTTGTTTTCATTTCACTTTTGATTTATTCAACTCAATGTATTGTAAATGACAAGCTCAAAATAAAGACCGGGTGGAAGGTGGATCCCAAAAATGCAGACTCAGATAAATAGCGATCTTAAAATATTTGTTTAAAGAAAAGCGAGAGACCAACAAAGTAGAAACCAAAATCGCTGGCGACAAAAAGCCAGGTAGATCCAATGGGAACAAAATGCTCTTGCAATTGCTAACGAAAAATTGAGAACTGAACATCCACAAAACGAAATGATAAGAGTCCAAACACACCAACATAAAACCAGTAAACATTAGCTTGATAAAGAAAATACTTACAAAACCACAAACTACCGAGGCAAAAGCAACTATGAGCAAGAGCATGAAGTCTAGAAAATGGCACATGGGCATGAACAGCAATCAAGGTCAATTATCCGACAAAGATAAGATAAGATAAGATAAGAAAAACCGTTATTAGTCTCGCAATGGAGAAATTCCCAATTCACAGCAGCAAAGTTATGAAAGGAAGAAGTAGAACAACAAAATATAGCTGCTGGAAAGGCAGCCACTCTCGCGGCGCCATCTTGAAGTCAAAATAACAAAAATAACACAACACAACACATAGGACACAGACAGTTGTGCAATCTTCACCACTTTCCTGCAGAGAAGCAGAAGTTAGAATCCTTAAATACACAGAAACATGATTGCAAAATGAGACACTTGTGCACCGCTGAAGGGTCACGCCCAACACTCCAGCTGGTGCTGAAACAAAACAAAAACAAAGCAGAGTAGAACATGACACAGTCTTTAAAATAATTAAACTCAGATGCATTTTAGATCACTTTCAAACAACCACTGTTGTACACAAAGTGCTGTACACTCCAAGCTGGAGAGGTTTGGGGGTGAGGAGCTCTGCCTCTTGATCTCACGTTCCATCCTACCCTCACTCGTGAACAAGACCCCAAGATCCAAGTCCTCCACTTGGAGCAGAATCGCATCCAGGAACTGGAGAGGACACTCCACCCTTTTCCAACTCAGGACCATGGTCTCTGATTTGGAAGTGCTGATTTTCATCCAAACTGCTTCACACTAGGTAACAAATTGCTCAAGTGAGAGTTGGAGATCACGCTTGAAAGAAGCCAACAGTACCACATCACATACAAAAAGCAGAGATGAAATACTGAGGTGATCAAACCTGACTCCCTCAACGCTGTGCCTCGGAATTCTGTCCATAAATGAAAAGAAAACAGAAGACAGGCTTGGCGGCGTTCCAGCCTTGATTGGAAATGAATCCGACTTAACGACGGCAATGCTGAACAAACTCTGACATTGGTGGAACAGGGACCGAACACCTTGTATCAGGGGGCTCCGTAGGCCGTACTCCTGAAGCACCATCCACAGAACTCCCCAAGGGACACGGTCGAACACCTTCTCAAAGTATACAAAACACATGTAGACTGGTTGGATGAATTCCCACGCCCCTTTGAGGACCCTGCTGAGGGTGGAGAGCTGGTGCACTATTCCGTGGCCGAGAACCAGATTGCTCCTCCGGGATTCGATATTCAATCTCTCAATGGACCCTCCTCTCCAGCACCCTTGAATACATCTTAACAGGGAGGCTGAGGAGTGTGATTCCTCTGTTGTTGAAATACACCCATTCTTAAAAAGAAGGGACCACCACCCTGGTCTGCCAATCCAGAGGTATTGTCCCCAATGTCATATGACGTTGTAGAGGCATGTTAATCTTGACGGCCCCACAACATCCAGAGCCTTCAGGAACTCCGAGTGGACTCACCCACCCCCAAGGCTTTGGCACTGTGGCGCTTCTCAACCACATCATTTACTTCAAGCGATAGGAAAGCCCACCTCATAGTCTCCAGGCTCTGCTTCCTCAGTGGAAAGTGTGTCGGTGGATTTGAGGGGGTCTTTCAAATTTTATCCATACTGACTAACATCCTGAATCGAGGTCAGCAGCACCCCATCTTCACTATATACAGGGTGAATGGTGCACTGCTTCCCCTTATCTTTGACATTGGATGGTGGTCCAAAATTTACTCAAAGCCGGTCGGCAGTGTTTTCTATGGCCTCACCGAGCTCCTCCCACACCGACTTTGCCACAACGACTGCCAAAGTGGCATTCCGCTTAACCAGGCAGTGCCTATCAGCTGATTCTGGAGTCCCATGGCCCCAAAAGGCCCGGAAGTTGGGTGGCCACAGAGTGACATGAGATGGCCTTGGCCACCCATGACCACCCTATAGCTCCACCCCTGTACATGGTTCATGAACTGAACATTCAAAATTTTCCATTAGTTTCAATGTGACGGTGAATGATTATCTATATGCTCCCTACGATTGGCTGCCAACCAGTTCAGGATGTAAGCTGCCTCTTGCCCGGAGTCAGCTGGGATCTAGGATTTATACAAGGCTCAAAATCTGCAGTTTTGAGGCAAAATTTGCTTATTAACACTGATTAAAGTTGTACAAAATAATTATTTAGCAAGTACCGGGATCACATTTTTGTTGTTTATTGTGGCCACCTACTTTTGAAAAAAAGAACCTTTCACTTGTACAGGAGTATTCTTTGTGAAGCCAGAACAAAATGAACTTCATTGAATTTGTTCAACACAGAAATACCTCTTTGATTCATTTTTCGCACAGGTCCTGTCTATAGTAACCTAATATCCCTGTCTGCATCAAAATCTTCCCATGTTTTTTTTTTCCCTTCACACTCTCTCACTGACCACAAGACTGTTCTGTAAGACTTGGCGCTTGAAATTTGAAGAAACCCAAAAGACAATGTGTTTTGTTGCCTCACCTAATTGCTGTTTTATTGCCTCACCGAACTCCTAAAACTTCCACAACTTTATCAAAACTGAGAGCCCATCCTACTCCCACAGAGAAAAAAATTCTGTCTCGTCCCAGTCCTGAACCCAAGCAAAAATTAAAATAAAATCCGGTCCCATCCTTCTTACCAGTGGCGGATGCTAGTCTGTCAAGGAGGGAAAGCTCAATTTCGGGATACATCATAAAATGTGTCTTTGTATTTATACGTGAATTCTACTCTCCGTTCCTTTTCCAAAAAAAAATGAAAAGGATGCCTTCACCATAAGATCGGTGATTGGCTCATTTCGCTGTCAATTAAAAAAACGATTCAGCTTCAGACAGATCATCCAATCATCATGCAGAAAAGCTGAGCGTCCGGGCCAGCCGATAAACGCCCACTGTCTATAGACTCCCAGAGACGCTGAGCGTCCGATGGGCGGGACACAAACAGCATTTATCCAAAGACTCGTCTCGTTTCAATGCATTGGGACAACCTACACTGAACTCTCTAGACACCCAGCGTCCGCGCGGTCGACGCTCAGCGTCCACACAGTTTAAAGCACAGTGAAGCTGTGGGAATGAATGAGAAGAGAGTCGCGTCCTAACCAGTAATAAGAAGCTGATTCGGAACAAAAGTTGAGCGCGTTGTAGCGCATATTTATTCAATGACATGTCCGCAGAATTGTACGCACACACATACCGTATTTTCCACACTATAGGGCGCACCAAAAAGTCTTCCATTTTCTTAAAAGCTCACTGAGCACCTTAAAATCCGGTGCGTCTTTTGTATGGTCATTACGGTAATACATCGACTCCAAGATGGCTCCTTCCTGGAGACATGCTTCCAATGTTATAACTTGCTGTTGGTTCAGTGAACTGTGTCACTGCTTTATTAAATAAGTTTTTGTTGCAGCTCCGAAAAAAGGAGATCTGTGGTGTTAATTTTTTAAAATGCACACTTTATGAATGTCTTTCACAGTCTCAACAAATACAGTTAGGTCTGTGAGTTTCCTGCCTTTCCTTCTTCCTTCGACTCGAGAGGCGTTCATGACCACCTTGGAAAAACGTAAATTAACGATTCCTTAATTGAAACTAGGAAAATTGAAAATAATGCATCAAAACAGAAAATCAAGCGAGGAAATCAAAAAATAAAGTCTCTAGCCCCCCTACAGAATTTATTTTGTGATTTCCTCGTTTGTGAATACAGTACACAACAAAGGAATAAATAACAAACACGCCTGAGACAGTCCCCATCTGATCTTTCCACTGGAGCTAAGCTCAAGGAAATGCCAAAATAAATTCTCTCAGGGGTCTCTAGAAGTTATTTTCTGATTTCCTCGCGTGATTTTCTGTTTTGATGCATTACTGTATTTTTGATATTCCTAGTTTCAA